ACACCGACGCAGCTCACACTAGTTTTTAGCTAGTCACATCATCTTTTCAGTATGAGGGTAAGTGCTAAATTAAATTAATTCTTATTACCTGTCACGAATGACTGAGCATTTAGCACGTAGCCACATACTGAAACCTTTGTGCTTGACCCCTGCGTGACAAGCAAAGCATGTCTCGGAAGTGGGCTATTGCATGGGCAATCAGTTTTCCCTGAGGAAGACGAGGCATTGTCTTCTAAATTTTCCTCATGATAATAATAATAATAACATTTTACAATAAATTGTGAACTAATTGAGGACACCTATCTTCCTATCTTCCTATCTATAAATTATAAAACTCCCTCCCATCACATCTACCCTTCATATGTTATTCAAAAAAAAGTAAAAAAACAAAAACAAAAAAACAAAAAACCCGCAAAATAAATATCAGATAAAATAATAAGAATACTATCAAAAAAAAACGAAGACAAAAAACAAAACAAAACAAACAAACAAAAAAAAACCAACAAAAAACCACTGAAATTTATAACCATGATTGGAAGATTACTTTTCAAGACCTGGTTCAAGACTTTGTCCACGGATTATATATAACACGATTCCTAGGAGCCGCTCGACCAAATGAACACAGGAAATAGAATTGCCAAAATTTTTATTTGACGTCAAGTCACGGCATAAGGAGTTCATATTTCATACTTACAAAGCCTCTTTGTTCAAGATAATCCTGACGATCCGCAATGAGAAATCGATGAAGCCTCAAATTTCTATCCTTTAGAAAGCTAAGCGTGTGATCAAATTCAATTCTTATTCATAAGTATAATTTTAACTGCTCAATAGTCATAAAATAAGTACTATGAAAGCAAACGGAAAGGAAATACCTTGGTGGCCATCATGGTTAATGGCAGGGATTTGCTTGACTTCTATCTGTCTCTCTCTTGTGTGCTTAGCTCATCTGCTGTTTATGCAGAACCATTCCTGTGGCTGCGTAAAACACTCTGAGGCATCGTACAAAGAGCGGGGGGAAAGTCCTGTCATAGCAACAGCCTCATCACCATTAAACTCAATGGAGAATCTTTCTCAACAGCGTCAACGAAGGAACGTTGTACAGAACCCTGGAAGTTTCTCACTTTATCAGCTTCAGACTCAAATAATGATGATAGAAACACGGTATGTATGTGCTTGCTCAGAATTATAATAACAATAATGATAGTAATAATATGAAATAATATCCGTTTAAATATATTGTTATATAATATATGTAATTAAAACATATTCCTTTTGACACCATAATTATGAAGTCGGCAAGTATAATACAAATGCGTAATCAATTAATGATTATATAGGGCATGCAAAGTCCGGACCCGGACCCAAAATCTGTAAAACCGGGACCGATTTTTTAATTAAATTTTTATAATTGTTTATGAATTTTTAGTAACTTTTGTAATTTTTAGCTATTTTAGTATTGTTTGTGACACAATTTAAGCTCAAGGCAACATTGTTAATAATAATAATAATAATGTTCTGACAAGCCGATTTCACAAGGCTTACTGACAGCTGTTTATCCTCCTTTCTTCAATGTTATATTAATTAATTTTTCTTAAAGGTTAGCCAGATACCGAACATAGATACAATTACTAACAGTCTACATAATAGTTCCCATAAAAGACATAATAGCTGTCTAAGGAATAGGAACGACAAACCAGCAAGACAAACACCTGCCTTTGGAACTTTTGCCATTTCGTTATTGCAAATGCTGGATACAAAGTTTCAGTGTGCCATGGCTGTAGAGAATTTCTTAAACCATGGGGGCAAAGTTCCATCACCACCACTCGACTTGACTATTGTATCTCGAGTAAGGAGAGATTACATCAAAGATGGTGTTCGAAAACCTCTCTAGATCTTTCTAATGCATATTACCATTTGAATCCGGATTGATTATCGCAAAACAGAAAAATCGCTTTTTTTATTGTTTGTTTCATTCAATGACTGTCAAAATATTTTTTCTTGTCCACTAGATCGTACAGATTATAAATCAGTTGGTTTTAAGCGTTGAAAATGGTTATTTCGTATTATGCATCTCATTAGATATTTGTATAAATGTATAAACGTATACTACAATATGGTTAATCAAATTCCCCTTAAGTTCCATATAAGCTCTATATGGAACTTAAGGGGAATTTGACTAACCATATTGACTCTGGACGGTTGAATATTACTGACGTAAGGAGCATCGCGCGGTCGCGTCACGTACGGAACGGCCGTTAAAGAAGTAACGCTCATAGGCTATTCAAACCGTTTGACCTTTGGAATGAAAACGTCTGCATTACAACAGCGAACGAAGGAACACGGACACAAGATAAGTAAACAAGTATAACGTTAATTTAATTCAAATAATCGAAAGGAAAAAAAACCTATGGAAATCCAACCACATTCGGTGTCCTAGTGCCCTTGCTTAAAGGGTGAAAATAAATTCTTCAAAATTTTGTCAATTCATAACTGCCACTGGAATAGTTGAATACGTTTTTCATGGATTTATGTCCTTACTTCAGCGCAATGCGAGATAAAAAAAACCCAGTGTCTAAATGCCCGGCAGCCGGTCGTGGTCTAAAATTGACTAAATGCCCGGCAGTCCAAACTTTCACCAAAAAAACGAGAACTGGCTACAGCTAATGGAATCAAACTAGTCTAACTTTATTATGGTATATTAAGCGCTTCCTGTAGTCTGGACTGATTCGAAAAAAGATTGTCCGTACTCGCTCGGCATAGAATACGGAGCACTTGGTTCATGTCACTTAGAATATTTTCGCCAACACTGCCGGTCGCGGTCTCAAATACACTAAATGCCCGGCAGTCCAAACTTTTGCGAAAAATACGATAAATTACCTACGTTAATGAAGCGAAACTAGTCTAAATTTATCGAGGAATATTAAGCGCTTCTCGTACTCTAACACTGCTTCTAATAAGGATTGCGGTTTGTCTTTGCTCGGCATAGAATACCGAGCACTTGGTTCATGTCCCATCGTCGTTTATTTTTTTGGCGAAGTAATACGAAACAATCCTTATTAAAAGCAGTGTAGAGTGCAAGAAGCGCTTAATATTCCTCGATAAATTTAGACTAGTTTGGTTCCATTAGCTGTAGCCAGTTCTCGTTTTTTTGGTGAAAGTTTGGACTGCCGGGCATTTAGTCAATTTTAGACCGCGACCGGCTGCCGGGCATTTAGACACTGCGTAAAAAAAAAAGCCAAAAATTTCGTATCTATGGAAGCCATTTTGATTGAAATTTGAGAGAAATTGATACGACTTGTATTTCTGGGTATGAGTGTTGACAAGCACGACTAGCGTCTCGGAGATCACGCGACACGCGACAGGAATTACATGTGCTTTTTTTGAAATGCCTTCCTTTAAACACGTCTCTTACTCAATAAATAATATGTCAATAGTAATACATACAAAATATCAATTATATAAGACTCAAAATAGTAGTTTAGGCCCCGTTTAGTCTGATAAAGTCTCCGTGACAAATCAACATTCAAATGGCCTTATGTTTCACTCTTAGTACAGCGCATGCGTCCAGCCGTTGCTATGGATGACAATCATTTGTTTGGGACGCGAGATTGCCTTTCGTAGAACGCAACGTGTGGACGACAGTTTTCCGAGGTTTTCCGATAGTTTTCATGATTCAGTCGAAATATTTTCGGCTACTATGACGTATTTCGATGAATATGGCACTGGACTTCTTCGTTTGAGTGAAGAAGTTAGTGAGTTTTCGCTAGTTTAGTGTGCGAAATGACCACTGTACCCCATGCGTTCTTGAATAAGTTTGTTTATATTTATCATTTCAGCATGATTTTTGGTAAATATTCAAAATAGGTATCAAAGATCAGGAATTAAAGTGCCCAAAGCAGAAAAATATTTTGATAAATTTTATCGCAGCAAAATCGGATCACGTCAGTTAGGGACTGTGCAATAATTATCAGGAGGTGTGCTGAAAAATGAGATATATAGAATAGAATAGAATAGAATAGAATAGAATAGAATAGAATAATAGAATAATTTATTTAATGTCAAATAACACAGGGAGTGGTCGCCCAATCTCCCGAGCCAGAGGCTCATGTTAAAAGTGCTTGACGAGAACAACAGCAAAAAATGTATACAATAAGAATTAAAAATCTACACACAATAAATAATAAGAACTAAATTATAATAATCTATATACACTTACTTGCAAGAAAGTTGTCATACAAGAATAGAACATTAGTAATTTAGTGAGAAAGGAATGCATTAAAAGACAAAAGAAAAAGTTGAGCTTCAGTGATCTTCTTTTGTTTTTTAATATAATTCCTATCCCACCAAATCACTAATGTTCTATTTTTGTATGACAAAGTTCTTGCAAGTAGGTGTATATGTAGTATTTAAAAAACGAGCAGCAGGGTTTTATCAAGTATAAAAACCCGACGCGTAGCCGAGGGTTTTTCATACTTGATAAAACACGTGCTGCGAGTTTTTTAAATGGTTTAAGAAACTCATCAATTTTCAATGACCATTTTGACCAATATCGATGAAGCTATGAAACCGAAAAATGTAATTAGTTAATTGATAGAAAACAATAGAAATTTTTTAGATTGTTTCCATTTGGGAATATTGTATAATAGATAAAGAAAATTAGAAATTCAAATGTATAGAACTTGCTTCAGTTACTTTATTCGCATGTAGCGCCGTACGGGTGAAGTGTTGTGTCGTTTTTCATAGTCTTTGGTATTTAAAAAATGGCAGCGAATCGGAGTTTTAGAGTGCCAATAACAGAAGAAGAAGAAAAGAAAGCACTAGATAATTCGACTCCAAAGTCAACTCGCTATGCCACAAAATGGGCTTTCAAGATATTTTCTGAATGGCAAAGTCAAAGAAGTAACAAGGACCCAGTCAACGAGAGGGGCTCTTTTACGTTTGATTTGGAGAAAGTTCAGTCCTTGGATACTAACATTTGCAATATGAGTGGTTGGCGAAATTTGTACAAGAAGTGAGCAAGGCCAATGGCCAACGATACCCACCTAGCTGCTTGTACTTGATTGTAACTGGCCTTCAACGGCATTTAAAGGAAAGTGGCAACCCTGTTTCGTTACTTGGACAAAACGAAGGAAGGTTGGTAATACGATATACTGTATAAAACCACTGTTTTACTGTATTAAGTGTGTTTTTGTTTTTTGTTTAGGCTACACATGTTCAGAAGAATACTGGATGCAGAAATGAAACAAGCAACTCAGGA